ACACCTGGCCTCTCACGTTCGTGGTGCTCGCTCCGTAACGCTTTGCCATGAGGTTTCGGCCTCCTTAATATACAAGCCTTCACCCATCAGATGCGTTAATTGATACGATATCTTGAGCTAGCATTTAATTTATGGGCTCATTTTATCTTCAACCCTTACGTTGATTTCATGCACAACACCGATATTTTAACTCAGCTACATTCTCCTCCACAGGGCTGATTCCCTTTTTGTATCTCACTGCCTATACAATGAACAATAAACAATGATTTATAACGAGTAAAAAAGCAGGTGCTTGACATGTCCCGTAGGGTGTTTAGCGTGACAAAAAGATAGAGCAAGGAATAATGAAGTCGTCAGTTAGGGCGATTACAAATGTAACTGCACTGTCGTATAAAGGGAGTTTGAAATGAGAATGTGCTCACACAAAGCAATAAGGGGAGTGGTTACTGATCACATAATAGGGGAGAAAAAATAAAAAAAGATAGCAAGGACAACGCTTACTCGTGTGCAGCTATCTAGGGGTGAAGGGATACAGCAATCCAGTTTCTATAGTAGTAGCGTTTAGCAAATTGTGTGCAGGGGGTTTGGGGCGACTCATTCTCGAGTAGGGTTATGGCACCGTCCACTGTCTGTTGTGCATTAATGCCAGCATCTGGTGGTAATGGGCTATAGCACGTAGTGTAAATGTGACAGTATCGTCAAGGCGTTTTTTGAAAAGGGATAGGGTGGGTGCATTAATTGTCTGTTCCGGGAGGGCGTTCCAAGGCTGTGCCAATCAAAGGGAGAAATAGTTTCCCCGACATTCCAGGCGGCTGTACTGCTTGACTAACTTAAACTGGTGACCTCTTAGTGAGGTGTTTTGACTGAGTATTAGAAGGGAATGGCATGGGTGGTTGGGGTTTCACAGGATCTGGTACACCATTATGAGACCGACACTTAGACGCCGATAACGTCCACTGTATATTTTGAGAGTCTTCTGCCTAAGTGGGTAGGGGAGGCTGGTCAAACCTCTGACGATCTTCGTTGCACTGCGTTGTGCAGTATCGAGTGCGGTGAGATGGTGATTGAACCAGGGTTGCCACGCTTGAATAGCGTATTCCAAGCGTTGCCTCACGTACGCACTAAGCATTTTCGGAAAGACTGAAGGGTCAAACTTCCCGAAAGCTCTGGTTTGCTTTCTTAGCTGCCTTTACAGTCTGCCTCAAACAACCGAGGTCATCTTGAACTTGCACGCCGAGATCGCACTCGTGAGAAGCCCGCTGTAGAATTTGTGGTCCTAGGCGGTAGTTATGCATACTCTTGTGTCGTATGCTGAGAAATTTGTATTTATTGTCGTTAAAACACAGCATGTTCTTGATGGACCATGTGTACGCTTTGTCCAGGTCCTCCTGTAAGACTGTGTGATCCTCCACTGCAGCTATAGTGCGCCATACCTTTATGTCATCAGCAACTAGCAAACAGTTAGAAGATAGCACACTCACGAGATCATTTATGAAAACCAGGAACAGGCGGGGTCCAGGTACCGAGCTCTGATGTACGCTGCACTGAACTACGATCGATTCCGATAGGTTGCTTCCAACCCTCACATTCACGTGACGTTGCACGAGAAAGTCCCCTACCCAGCCCAGAACAGGATCGCCGATTCCATATTTCTGGAGTTTGTGGAGGAGAATGCGATGGTGTATACGGCCGAATGCCTTTGAGAAATCCAAGTAGGCTGCGTCAACTCCTACTCCAGCGTCCACGGATTCCGTCCAGCTTGCACTAGCAATCAAGAGATTAGTGGTACAGGAGTGATTTCGGCGAAATCCATGCTGCTCCGGAACGAGAATTTTGTTATTCTCCAGGTACCCCATCAAAGCTTCAGCTACAATGGACCCCATAACCTTGGAGATCACAGGAAGTAGTGTTATCGGGCGATAATTTGCTGGTTCAGCACGGCTACCACTTTTGTAGATAGGCGTGATGATTCCGTGCTTCCGCATCGTGGGGACGTGCATCTCGTTCAGGCACCGTTGAAAGAAAATTGCTAATGGTCCTGCCAAACTCATGGCAGCAACTTTCAACGCCATCGGGCGAATGCCGTCCGCACCTGGGGAGCTGAACTCGCGCAGAGACATCAGTCTCTTCAGTACAGCTGCGGAGGTGAACGATATGTGATTTAGCCCTGATGGCGGCATTATCTGCTTAGGCAGGATGTATGATGATTGTGCGCTATGGAAGGTACGGCCCAATTGTTTTCCAACGACGTTGGCCGCCTCTTGTGCGGTTTGGGCTAATCTGCATGCTGTGTGCAGAGCAGGAACACAGCGCTTAACACGGCGCAAAGTGTTTACCTGTCTGTATAGCAGTTTGGGATTGGAGCGAAACTTTTCCACCAGACCTTGTTGGTTCTTCGGTTTATCCTCCCGGACGAGTTTGACACAGTGGTTTCTTTGTATTGTGTAGACATTCCAGGTATGGTCGTTCTGGGAGGCTATGTAGGTGTGCCATGTCAAGTCCATCAATGCCATGTATTTACGTGTCCTGCTCCTTACGAAAGACTTTATCCTTTTAGGCCGGCAGAGTTTGGTTTCAGATGTCCTTGCCACGAGCTTGGTAAATATGTTGACGAATTCACCGCAGGCCACCTCAGGGGTTAATTCAGCTAAGAACGACCAGCTGGTTGCATCAGTTAGGTCGGACAGGTCGTCATAGTTGGTTACGACATGATATTCCTCGGCATGCTCTTTAGGATAATCCGCGTAGCACATGTAATGAAACACTAGTGTCACATGATCACTGCGGCCAAAAGGAGTACCGGTTATCACTCTCTCGACTATCAGTTCTTCATTGGTGAATATTCGGTCCAGCATAGATGGCCTGTCAGCATGTCGGCCGGTGGCCGAGTGGTCTGCACGCCTGACTTGTACTCATAAGGTCACCGGTTTGAATCCCCGTAGGGGCGGGTGTCCTCGTAGTATAATCAGCTAACGCGTGACTGATGGCGGTCACGCGACAGCGAAGTGCCGTTACGGGGTACAGCTTATGGTTTCTTTTATACATATAGCATTGCCTGCTTAAATCACTAGCCGAGGAAAGTAGGATTCTGCACTCCGACCTATGTAATCTCAGTGTATGCGTATGTAGTCTACGTCATGATATCTTAGGCTCTCTTATGTACACCGGCGTCCACGCACTTACGGTCTAAATAATTAATCTTCCGCCCCACGTTCATTTGTTGATCAAATTTTACCGGATTCCCATAACTTGCCAGGTTGATGTGCGCATCACCGAAGATCAGCACAGCTTTGGTCTCCACCACATTATCCGTGCCATGACTGCATTATTTCTTACTCTCACACCTACCTTTCCCTACCCACTCAATGATTTGATGTTTTCTACTTCCCTACTACTTCGAATGATAATAAATCGAGAACTCTTTACTCAACCGACCGAGGTGTGATTCAACGTATCTTCTCTAGGATGACCGGCTGATGCTGTGAGTCACGGTACTACCACTGTGCCAGATTATGTGACCGTTAGTACAACCCATCCTACGAGACTTGTCCAGCACATGCGCTTTTACCCGTGATACATCACTTATCACTGCACAAGTCAAATCCTATGTAAGAATGAATTTATGTAGCACGACAATTAGCTGTGTTGGCACAGTGTGTAGTTATTTATCATTCATTTCATGAGTCTTCACTCCACTGCGTATGGACGATCTCATGTTTGTTTGATTTTCTAGCCATTCTCTCTGCTGAGATCTACTAAGAAGGTCTGGTCGTACGTATTTAGATAGACCTGTCACTGGAACGATTGACACAGGGAACGCTCCTTTGACTTGATGGAAAGAGAATGTGCTGATGAAAATGAATGTTGCCCTCCGGAAAACACCGCACTCCGCGACCATTTTCGTGCTGGGTTGCTCTCATGCGGCAGAGATATCAGGCACATGAACCACAGACATTTGGATGCGAATGCCAGCTATCTCTGCCAGATGAGGACAAACCAAGTCGAAACCGGTCGTAGAGTGTGCGGTGATTTCAGGCGGACAACACCCAATTTCCATCTGTTTCATCAGTTACAGTCCTAGTGGTCGAATTGTCCAAGTTTCCCTTCGATGCGAAATGCAATCACATTGCGGTTGTGCGTTGCAATTTATACACACAACGGGCGCTTCAGAATGACCCTCCAGTGATTTGTCAGCATTCTAACACATCCTGTCGGGAATACCGCCGTCTGTGAACTTGTTTCTCTCGGATACGAACGACTGAGTCCTAACTTGTTGGTCTTAAATTATGTAATTTGCCTGCCGTCAAATTGTCCAGCGCACTATGCCCACCTCGCCAGTGGGAAATAACTTCGATTGCATTTAGTGCAATATGCCTTCCCGGGATATTTCATGCTTGCTACTCATTAAAGTGGGATTGCCTGGCGTTACATTGTGGTACATGAAATGCCCATCTCGCAATGTCGACGCTCGGAATGGAGGGTCGTGAACGGGCGTCAAGTAAGTCCACTTGTTACCAATATGCTATTGGACGACATTTTAGAAATATGGAGATCGGGTTACAAGCAGAGTGCCAAAGCTGTATAACTCCTAGTTTCGGTCCCAGTTTCACTGATACCAAACTTGTTGACTTTGGGAATGAGCAATTTCTGTTCGGCGTCGTCAGTTTATTGGAGGATGGAGAACAGCGGTGGTTGGTACTACAATGAATGAGAGTCAGGAAGTGGGGCCCATGGTGAAATCGTCGTATAGCAAAGCTGTAGAATGTTACGAAATCACATGACAAGTCATTTCATCATTCTCCGCACAAATATGTCAGTTACCTTTCAGGTATGTGTTTGTGCGTTTGAACCATCCAATTATAACTGAAATAAATAATTGGTACTATTGGCTAAAATGCACCTGGATTCTGGTTGGCTGTTGCACATACGGATGGTGCCTGCATCACCTTAAAAGATGCTGTAACAAGGTAATCAAGTCACATCTAGTTCTCACATAACCAATGGGCCGAAGAAAGAGGGACCCAGAACAGGCGCTGGAAGAGCAAGTAGATGAAGTTGAACAGCGCACTGCTACCCCGAGCAACCCGGTGGAGGAAGACAGTGTCGTCGATTACTCCGATAAAGTTTATCTAACAATAGAAGACCTTGAATTGGTTCGTGAAAATGAACCGATTTGGCGGCGACTTCGGATCGTTTTAATTGTTTTGTTCTGTGTCCTTTGGGCTGGCCTAGTACTCGGAGTTGTGCTGACAGTGGTTTTGTCTGATCGATGCCCTCCAAGACCAACGCTGAGTTTTTGGCAATCAAAAGTTGCATATTACCTCGACCCATTTGCGTTCAGTGATTCTGGTAGCGATTGGATCGGTGATCTCCAGGGTAAGTTGACATCAGTGTTCCACGTGCTTCAGGGTTGCGAAGCAGTATGGGGTACCTGCAAGAGACTCTGGGTGCTGGATTTGTCATTATGAATTCCATCATGAAAGGACAATACAGAGTGGATCGAAAAAGTTTGGGCGAGGTTACCGACTTCAAAAGTGTCGACCCTGCTCTTGGCACTATGAACGACTTCAGACATATGTTAAAAGCGTTTCACAAAAGTGGACTGGAGGTGGTTATTGCTTTGGATTTCAATGGAATATCCCAAGATCATCCATGGATTAACGATACGACTCATTTAAAAGAATACGACGAGAGCCTACATTGGGTAAGTGATTCAAGATTGTTTAAACAATGAACAACAGGTGTCTAGAAATGGTAAACCACCTTTCATGGAACATGATGGCAAAAAGTATTACTCAGTGGATAATAAGCTTTTCGATCTACAGTTCGGAAACGAGAAGATTTTGGAAATGATTATTGTAATTGATGCATAACAGTTGTACAAATTTTAGCGATTAGGATGTTGTGAAATTTTGGCTTCAAGAGGGTGTCGATGGTATTCTTCTCAAAAACTGCGCCTTTTATGTTGAATCAGATCAACCCACGTCATCCGCGGCAAGAAACATAGTGAGTTCCCGTTTTGCTAAATGACAGCCTAAAAGGAAAATCCATGGCTGGCCGAATTGCCTACTGCTCAACTATTTCAAAACGGAAGCGTGACAGTTGTGCAGCGAGTTCGTAAAGTTCTCGACGACTACAGTGCCTCAAAGGGTAGAGAGAAGTAGGTTCAGTGCACCTATTGTGACACATTGTGCCGCAGAGTTCTGATCGCTGATCCCGGCGACACGGGCTTCGGTGCACAGCAGCTGTCGACCATGATTGGAAGTTTCCTTGGCACCAACAAAGAACCCGGAGCCCATTTGGTAGTTTCGCGTCAATTTGTTACCAACAGTGGTTCGTAAGTTGCGCTGTGTATTGTAAAACCCATCCTTTACTTTTTCAGAAAGGAAGCATCGATGAATACAGGTCAAAGTTCAGCACATTTGGTGGCATATTACAATTCATCGGATGAAAAAACCAAGTCCCTCGCCTTGCCTACCGCTACTGATAGTGACTTGATTCATAACGACCTCTTCCTACTGGTCGCTGTATTTTTATTTCCCGGTAAGTCCAACGATAGACTCACGTTTTCGAAGCCATTCGACTTGGCCGACTAGTAGGCCTAGAAAACATTGTAGCAAAATGCATGTGTGGATACGTTGTGTGCACCATCTGGGCCTCGTAGGCAATCATGTCATAAAATGGGATCATCATTTACTAGAGGTGAAGAATAGTGTTTTTCATTTCACTGAAAGTAGAACAAACTTTCGGTTGCGGTTCACATCGAACAGTCGCTAAACGATATGTGCGCCGTAAGGTAAACCATGATTCCTCAGGCAGATAGTGTAGGGTCCCTTTGAGCCAAACCCATTAAATGTGTGCGCCTTTATATACAGGACCGTTCATGTGTGTTAGAATGCTAGTCACTCGAAGATAGAGGGATGTCCAATGAATGTTTCGGGATTATTTAATCGAGAATTTCCCATCGGCTGGGGATGTGCAAAGGATGGCGCTAGCATGAAAGCAAATCCGGTGGGTAAATAAGGCAACTCTAGTAATCCCAAAGGTTGATATTACGCCACATGAGAGCCTGAAACGAATCATGCTGTTGACATGATGATGATATAGAAACGCCACAATTTGGCATTATAGCACACCAACGTTGGTGTCCAGGTACTTTATAAAGACCCACAATGTGGGATCGGAAACAATCATACTGTAAATAATTTTAGGAGAAGTAGGAACTGGTAAGAAATAGGACAGTTACTCCCCTTCGATTTTGGTACTCCAGTAGGACCCCATGGGTGGTTCAACAAGTAGCTTGGAAAATCCAGGTCGCATAACACGGGCATGCTTGCTACATGTAACTAATTGTTGTCCGGCAAACGCATTTGACGCCGTCAGTATATAGCCGTAGTGCATTATGTTTTCAAACCGATATCAGACTACGATTTGTTCTAATGAAACACAACACAAGCTTCCCAACTAGAATACTAGCGGTGCTCCGCCTCTTTGGGTACCAACGAACGGTTGAGGAAAGCGGTGATATTTTTAACAATGACATTTTGTCATGCTCATAACGAGGCGACACGCATTTGCCTCCAGTCATTAAGAATAACATCAAAACTAAGTGTAACTTACTCCCGTTCGTTGTTTCTTTCAAGAAAAGTCGCCGCAATCCGGTTGCGTAACCTGCTGACATACGGTTAGCGGCACCCGTTTTGAAGTCCCCATATCACTGTAACTGTGAACCGCCAGACAATTCGACTCACACACGTCCAAAGTCAGTGTGTGGCATGTGGATGGGGTAACGGATGGCTTGTAGCAGCCTAGTATTAGTTCAACAGGCATATCGCTGATGCGAAATGGTAAGAAGCTTGATTCCAGACTTATGGTGCTGGCCTGGCCGTAAACTCCTTTTGTGAAAGGACCACACTTAGGGCCCAGCAACATCACAGACTTCGCGTCTTCTCCCCCGAAAGCAAAGCATAAGCTTCAGAGAACCAGTAATTGAGATGACGGAATGGGAGGACACTTTGTCGACATTAACCAGACTCGGTAGATCACTCTGGGGATAGACGTCCTGCAGTCCTGTCAGTCATTCAAACACAATGCAGACATATTTAACACCAGCTCCAGCACCCGCATAACGAAAGTACGAGCGCAGACTTGCTAGCTACTGCGCCTATTCACACCGATTAAATTACCTATGTTGGTCTAACCTCATGAAGTTGTTGAGCCTAGTGGACGGACTTGCTGACAGAACTGTCAGTCATTTTCACGAGAACTGAGAATACACACACACAATACCTGCCAAACATACATCGCCTTGTCGCCGAGCAGTGAATGGTTCGGATGCACTTCAAGCGCAAAGTAGCCGATTGACTTCTGGCCGGTACGATGTAAGCGACTCAGCCGCAAGTCGTTGTACATGCAAGCCGAGACTGGGCACAAAACGCGTAATCTCGCACGAATGCACAGAGATTCAGAAAAGTAAGACTGGTCGACAGCAAGGGATCGTTTACTGACTCAGCTAAAGGTGAAAACCCTCTATACAACTTCGTACTTTTAACTCAATGACATACCAATGGAAGACATAAAATGTAAAGGAAGGTGAGTGACAGTAGGTATTTGAGTTGCTACGTAGTGGTGGTGAATTATGGATAGCTCAGTTGAGGTCAGTTCAACTTGAGCCACCAGATATAGCAACGTAAGTGGAGCGCGCTTAGATGGAGTCTGCAGTCTGCGACAAAGCAATCGTTTCAATGAGGAGATCACAGCTGTTACACGCGCGGTTTGACTCATTGTATGGCGAAAGTATTGCTGAGGTGAGCTCTTCGCAAGTTTGGCAGAACCATGTGACATCGGCAACCTCATACAAGATACCGCTTACCAGACATCGGCGTTGTCCTACAAGAAGCGGTCAGTACGGTGGAGCCAAGGGGCGTGTGACTGGGTTCAGCTGAATCGACACTCCCCAATGACAAATGCTCACACCAGTGTTTGAGCGAGTGACACAACCGTCACTAATAAAGATGCGCCAATCTCCGTCCATTGAAGATACGATGACCGGTTCGGATACCTATTTCTAGATGGGGTATCCAAAGAAGTCGAAAGTCAACCTGTGGATAAGAGATGAGCAATACTAATTGCAGATCTCAACGTACAGTCAAGTTGACTAGGTTGGTGAAAAGTAAAGCTGCAAAAAATGCTGCTAACCATCAGTGTGGACTAATGAAATTACACATGGAGTTGATTGCAGGCTGTTTAGCCCAGTTAAAGTGAAGTATCGAGGTGTACGTGGCATCAATCTCAGCAAGGGAGGACAAACTGCCAGCATACAACCCACAGAACTTGTGAACCGAGACTTCATTGGCAGATTGGAAAGTAGTCACAACGCACATCGGTCGTTTCTCTATTTAAGCTGAGAGTGCTTGGATACTGCCGAATTAGACAGCAAAACGCACGGTGCGGATAGGTTGAAGAGCAGTAACAAACTGAGGTTTTGGAGTATGATTCAGTGACTTAAGTCCATTTATGAACAAAGACCTGAGAGTGATGGTATTCGTCCAGTTAATTCACATGCACGTAATTTCCGTCGGGTCTTTGCCTTTCCAGCACAATACACTGTTAATTCTATCTGGTTAAACAAAATGAGATCCGACTCAACATTATCTATCGTCTCTGTTTAGATACAATGCTAATCTTAACAGACTATTGTGGTCGTGAGCGCCGCCGATCAGCACGGAGGCGCGACTTATTGATTCACACAGTAGTACAAATACCAGAGTAATCTAACTGTCCTGATTCGGTAACGATAATGATGTCAGATAGAAGAGAGGGTTATAAAAATGCTCACCCTTAGTGTTAACTAAAACGTTGCGACACCGAGACACAAAAGTGAAACGCAGATCTTTTCCGATAGGCCGGACGACCAAGGGCGCGAATCAGGGTTGACGATGCGAGAAATTGGCTGGCGACCACTACATGAGAACCGCTTTTCCACGATGTTTGAGCATTGGAGGAAGCCGGTACCAGACACTTGTTTGTTGGCCTGCCAGAAGTGGTCTAAGCCAAGCGCGACCAGCAAATAGGCTCCAACAAGTGGATCAAGACGCCGTAGTTGACTTCTCTACATTGAACGGCGACCCGCGACAACTAGTGTGTAAACAGGACTGGTGATTTGTTGACCAACACTGTCCACCAGCCTGCGACCGCAATAGTACAACTATAGTCCAGGGACATTACTATGGTGGAGTGCGACGTGGTTAAGACAACTCCAGTGGGAAGAGCAAACATAAAAAACAACAATCAGTAATAGCACACCACCACAGGTAAGTAAAAGTGCCAGCGGATAATGCACAGATTGGGGAAAGCGAACACGGTGCTGAGGCATTGGAGTGTGTAAAACTGACATCAATAGCCAGATGAAGACGTATTGGTGCTAGATCTACTAGGCTACGGACTGTTAAGACGGTCGATAACGGTGATGGTTAGTTCAAATGCATTTAACTGAGGGTTCGTTGCAACCAGTTCCAAATCAGACAGTCGTCCACATACCTACATATCCGCCCCGACAATTTCCACATGCAATGTCGTACATAGCTACTGTCGGTGGATGTAGTGTCTTTCGGGGCCAACCCTGTCGTCTGCAACGTTCGTCACTTACATGGCAGTGGAGGATAAGACGCGCTATATCGCAGTCAGCTAGTAAATCATGACGGTCCGAAGCTGTCCCCAATGGCACATGTTGCTGACAGTCGCTTCAAGCTGCTGGTGGTCATAGGTACGAATCCTGATGGATCCGACGGATGCGCACTACCGATGAAGCCGAACAGGCTGAAACTGTAGTCTAGTGCTTTTCAGGGTAGGTGACGACCATCTGATTTGGAACTGGCTGCGACCAATCCCAATTAATGCTATCCAAATCCCCTACTCATGCGTACAGTAATTGTATTTGTTTTATGCATTTCTATCGTGCACAATCCACTTGGATAGCATCCAAGTTGGACGGAACAAGAACCATGTGCATCTAACTAGCACTGTGTCTTAATTGAAAGGACCGATAAGTGGAATTCAAAGTCTAGGTACTTTGTCCATCGATCATAGGTAGCCAAGCTGCCAACAAATTTTACGCGATTTGTGAATTTGAGTCCCTTGAATATATCTAACTAGCATACCTGATCAGCAGTCATGACTCAAATAGACAGACAAAGATTTCGAGAAATAAACAGTTATTTGTGTACTGATAAGTATCCAGTTTATTCCGAGTGGCTGAAGAGCTAAAACAAGGATATGATCGGTCGTGTAGTGGAGTATTGAGACCGAGTAACGCCGAGGAAGTCTCCATATTGAAAATTGCCACATTACATTTCAGGAACACCGGTAGTTTATTACGGTTCGGAACTTGGAAACCACTACAAGATTACATCGGACTCCCCAAAAGAAGTATATCCAATGGGAAAAGTTCCGAACACTGAGCAACCGCCGACGGAATCGACGCTCGCCTGTCAACTCCCGATGCCGTGGTCATGGTCTGGAGATAAGTTTTCTGCCAAAGGAGATGATCCTGACCGTTTCACACGATTCCTTGATTCTTACGGATTAACTGAAACAATGGAGGTAAGCTTTTTAACAAGAAAGTGTCGGCCTCTAGCATATACCATAAAACCCATTTTCTCGTGATAAGTGAGGGCTGGAGCACTATCAAAATTAAGACTAAAACCGCAACATTATTAGTGAGATCACAGTAGTAGACGAAAATCACAGGTACTTATTTGCTTTGACCAATGCAACTGTCTCAGAGACCCTAACCCAGTTTTTTCTACACAGTCCCATTGTAACTCGCCGCACCATATATCTCCGGTCTAACGCTCCCCCCAATGTTTAGAGGTCGTGTACTGCAGCTGCAGGAAAATAGAGAACAACTACTCTAGTGGCGAGCTAGAGGCACCGATTTCAGTACCAACACCGGATTTGGAAATCGGAGGCTAAAAGTATGTGATAACATAGGGTCAGACCAGAGCGCTATATTACAGCAATACAGAATGTCGAAGGAAATGTGATTCTGAGGTTTTCCAATTCACCAATCAGAGTTTATCACTAAAATACTCCGAACACATAATGCGTGACCAATCGGCAAACCAAAGCATTATTTTCTGATATTCTAGCCTGTCATGCCCTCGTTGCGTGAACGCGTTGAATCAAACGACGACTGGACATACGAACTGAACACGCGTCGTCTTATGCAACAACCTTGTAATCACATAGGTCAGCAGACAGCTAATTATGTGGGACTCAATGTGAATCACAGCGCAGTGGTAGATGTGAAATGACCATCACAAAGTCTCGTCGCTGACCTAAACAGTCACAACCCTTCAATGGTCACAAATGAGTGACGGGTGTCAGAAGGATGGAGTCTTCAAGATGCGTGAAGGCAATATACATGTTGTGCATCTGAGCAGGATTTCACCCTTAATAAAAAGTTACGTGTGATAGCACTGATACGGTGGAAAGGTCAGATGAACTGAATGCCATTATTATTTCTGTTTCAGTCAGTTACTGCGGCCGCTCGTGGTTCCAGTTATTTTAGTGTGGTGAAGAAATTGGTCGAACTTCGACAATCACCTAGTATGCTGTGGGGCAACCTTGAAGTCATACAAACGAACGAAAAAGTGAGTATCATTATTTGCGTAGTATGTTCATTTGGTATGTAGAGTAGCGGTGAGTCATTTGTCGCTTGGACCAACTCACTGGGTACAGTACAAAAGACACCAAGAACATACACACGCAGGTACAAGCGTGAGCTAAACTATCAACCAACCTAAAACGCACATGTGCCGGTCGACAGGGAACTGACTATACCCTTGGAAAGAGACATGACCGGCATTTTGTAACCACAGTTTCACAATGACCATAAGCTGAATGGTCCAACCCACATTGATGATTCGCTGATATGATGACAGACTTAGAGCCGGTATTTCACAAACGCTTTCCACACTCTCTTTGTAGGTTACGGGAAATAGAACACAACTATATGTAAAGAAAGCACCAGGATTTCCAGCGTTTGTGATTGTATTCGAGGAAAAGAAAGTGGATGAAACGGATAAAAAACAGGGCGTTGTAATTGAACTGTCCGCCTTGTGCAAGAAGGTCAAAGTGGAACTGGCGTATCCACCGGGATCCATTAAAGAAGATGAGGAGCTTGAAGCTGACAAAATCTACATAACGGCGAGTAGTGAACCGGCAATTTATATATTTCAGTGCATATAACGGTGCTGCGGCTACTTTTTGCAACAGATTCAAAAGTTGAAGAGTAGTCGATGACGATGTGCACACTTTAGATCATGTTCAATAAAAGTGATTGTATAGTATTTCTTCAGCTAATGTGACTGTAGCAGTACGTATCTAAACGATCGACAGTTATGGTGTCAGTGGGCTCATAAATAAAGAAGGAAGCTTAAGCGCTTGGGAATGTTTAGCTCGATGTGCGCCTGATAGTGACTAGTTGCGACATTTGCCTTACGGTAACCGAAATAATTTAATACCTGATGTAGCTACATCATTTCAACCATGGACGCAAACGAAGAACATCGCTTCTGGAAGAGTTGGGGAAAGTTAGGCTAATAGGAAATAATAAGAATAAGAAATCAATTCGGAAAGTCGCGCTTGCTAGTCAGTAAGGACAACAGGAAATGCACCAACTCCCAGTTTAATGAAATATGGAAGAGTAATCCTGTCTTCAAGAGAAATGTGGTGTTGCGCATGCTACCAGAAGAGTTCAAGTAGAAAACAGTACCGTTTTGTAAAATGTCGTTCTCCCGTTTGTTGAGTGCGCCAAATGGACGACAATCAGTAGTCACTAGGGCGCTGGGATGAGCACTCGTAGAACAAGGAAATGCGTTTTCGAGTGAACGCGTATTCTCGAAGGACATACGAACGAAGCGCTTTGTGTTTATTTTAGATTCGCAGCGCATAGCTCCCATACTAATGGAGGAGTTGACGATCAGTTATTGATACAGGCAACATCAGCGCATCTTGGTGCGGTTGATCTAGTTACTTTGCGGCACAGTAGCTGAGGTGTTTTACACCTCTAGCTAACGTGTATAATGATGATGATGAGTTAATTAGGTGTACGCCGCCAAAATATTAGCAGTCCTAACAGGTCAAGAGCAATAGTCGAGAATAAAGATCTGATCAAAAGAAAGTGAGAATGCGGAATATAGGTGCCGAAGCAATTAGGACACTTGAGCAAAGCGGAGCGCACAATCCAACGAGTAAATGTAGAAAATAAAAGCAGATCACAAGAAATCTGGAATTAGTCGACGATCACTGGGATAAGTTAAAACTTAAAACCGGTGGAGACTACGGTGCAAGTATGCAAACAACGAAGCAGCAAATAAAAAACTCCAATGACGTTCCTAGGACATAGGGATGGAAAAGATTCTTGAGACAAGTAAAGTGGGTCTGTTGTAAAGCCGACCGAGACGGGTTAAATAATGTGCACACCGTAATGCAATACAGTAAAGGTCAGCTACTTCTGAGTTGCACAATCTTCGACGCATTAATAAAATCCGAGCCCTAACATATGTACACTAGCATCGAGGGCTTCTTAGTAAAGTTAATGAACTTCGACTAGATCAGGTCGTGAAGGATTGGGACCTAGTTTCCATTACGGAAACCTAGATGCACCAAGAAGTTTCTGACGTTGAGGTCGAGATATCAGGAATGTGACCCATCCGGGACGACTGTCACAGCAGAAGAGGTGGGGTCTTTCTGTACTATTGCAGTGACCTGCAATGTGAAATAGTTAACCATCCGGAAACCTGGTACCGACTCACTCTAGTGCCGCCTCCAACTAAGACACCGCGACACCCCACAACATCCATAACGGAAATGGATTCCAGCTTGATACTCGCCATCAGCAGCGTTACATGCCATAGATACAGCCATACCCTCATCTCAGACTACAATGTATATGGGCTGGATGCATTGACATCTCCTAACGAACAGTTCATAGCCGACTTGAATGAATTTATCGCTTACATTACCTCATACAATTATGTCACTTTGCGCACAAAATTCCGGGTAGGAAACGAACCGTTTGTACTGACCACTGTGCTCACACATGAAGAGCTCATGGTAGAACAGAATTTGATGGAGAGTCCATGCAGTCCCACTGACCATGTAGTCATAATATCTAACTATATTTGCTATGCCTAGTATTCATACAAATATTCGGAATAAACCCACGCAGTCACGCGCCACCACGTCGTGAAATAACTCGTCGAAGCACCCACTTGGGATTTGGCGAACAACAGTCCCCTTGACGGCGACATGGTCAACAGAACATGGGAAACCAAGTCACTTCGCTCCGCCAGAGTGTCGTCAATTCGTAAAAGCATGACGCGAAAATGCATGGCAATAAGGGATGCAGCATGGCATGCCTACAAGGCGTACCTCCAACCAGAAACTTAGAGGAACTTCCTGACGCACAGCAACCATTGTACCACACCTGTTCATGAGGATAACAGTTTCTGGCAAACAATAAAATACTGTACAGTCACGTCAACAGCCTTTGTAACTTAAGCATGGCATCCCCACACTTTTTACAACAGACAACAGGGCACAAAGCGCTGACGAAGTAGCATATGCCTTGCGGCTACAAAATTCCCGGATTTTCGAATTCGCAACCTGTCCCTGACACCAAACCTCATTCTCTTCAGCGACTCCAGGGTTTACACAGGTAAGCTTCAACCTAACAAATGTACTAAGCTGTTCTCCAGTAAGCAATCATAGTTCTTGGGAGCCCACAACAATCGCCCGAAGGCATTGTAGGCTACGGCCACTAAGGCAACTGCGTCTCTGTCGCGGTTCTTCTGAAAATGTTTCCACGAACAACAATTTCCTACCATGTGGAAATATGACATCACTCCAATTTTTAAAGGCAGTAGCCGTTCAGATGCTGAAAACTAACGTCCAGTGACACTCCTCTACGTGCTTTCGAAAGTGATGAAAGCATTCGTCGATGAGACTTTGGTGGACTAAGTAGGAAAAGTAAACGTCTTGGCATCGGAGCAGCATGGCGTCCGTCAACACCGGTCATGCACCACGAGTCTGCTGATGACATGAGGGAGTTGGATGGAAGCAGCCGGTGGGACGTGAAACAACCTCACAGAATTGAAATTTCCAAAGCTTTCAACCATCTGAATCATTATATCCTCCTTCACAGGTAACAGAGCTATGGAATCGGTGACAATGTACTTGGGTAAAGTACCAAATTTCTTCACCAATCGAGGCTTCAAGTGCGTGGTAAGGGATCATTCTCCAAGCCGATTGAGGCGAAATGCGGTGCTACACAGGGTTCGGTACTGGGATCACGCTTATTTCTGGTGTTTATCAACGAAACAGCAAAAGTTAACTCTCCTGATTTGCTGCTCTACGCTAATGACGTTAAGATACAGTGAGCGATTAATAGCAGTGGAGATCAGGATTTGCTACAAAGTGACCTAGTAAGTGTTGAAGTGTTCAAGAAAGAATCTACTCCACTTAAAACGGCTAGGTGCAAGTTAATTCACCGATGTCATTATCAAGCTTGGAGCACACACCTGGTAGAAGGTTTTCCAGGAGCGCGAGCTTGGGATATTGGTCCAGAATGAGCTCGGCTGCTCGAGAAAATCCGATAGGGCATCGAGAACCGGTAAACAACACGCCGACTTTCTTCGCAGAGCGTTCAGTCGGTTTGACCCCTAGGTTTTCACACAAAGGCTTACGTGCGACCGCACATGGAGTACGGTATCCAGGCGTGGCACCCGTAGTAGAGGCAACATTGTGCTGCTCCCGAGACTCCTCAACGAAGGGAATCCAAGAACGTCAGGAACTTCTTCCATCAGCCATACTAGCTTAGATTGAAGTCACTATGGATATATAGCAGTCGGTCTCGGTGCTTGCGGTGGGACATCATAATGGTTGATCAGATCCTGAAGAACCCAAGCCGCATTTGCCGCCCGCTGCTGGAACTGAAGAACGACACCAACCTGTTCAGTCATCAGCAAAAGCTGACAGTATGCTATAGCTGGCTGAACTACCATCGAAATTTGCTCTCCCTTAGATTGTGTTAGCCGTGAGGCGACCTCCCAACTCTGCTCCCAACCTAACGATATGGAAAAAAACGATTTGTAGTTGGTTTTATAAATTGTGTTAGCCGGGAAGCTAGATAACGCAGCCAAGCGGTGTGTTTCATAATACCACACAGGTGAATTTATACTTATTATCATGTGAATATCTCGGCTATTCTACGAAAGGGTTAAATGCGAATACTATGGGCCTTTTCTTAGTTGTTTCCATCTCACAGGATTTGCTAAGCATTGCTTCTTTTACCCGTAATACACCAGTGTGTTATCGTACGTCGAAGCGGAAATAGGCTGAGCAAAGTAGTGGTAACACATCTGAACGATAATGCTTTCGGTTACCTAGTAGTTACGCTCGCCCTGAGGCTTCGGAAGGAAATCGGTGCAATGTGATTGGAAGTCTAGTGTTCGGGAGCCATTCAGGGTCAAGCATTTAAAGAACGGTCTAGACGAATTCTCAGAGGGCACTGGTGAGCAAATTGAACAGCTCAAGCACAGCTCTGCGGTTAACTGGCCCGAAGAAACGGGGTAAGCACTTCATTGCAGACTGCTTAAAGGCCTGGCATCAACAACGCTCACATTTTCTTTTCGAACGTAATCGCATTGGCTAAGTGGATCCACACAAGAAACGACACATGGCTACAGCCATAATCGCGACTGTTTCGCTATCCTAATAGTGTCGATTTGCTGCATTTCTGCCGGCCGGCCAGCCAGAAAATAGGCCAAACTCCAACCTGCTGTCACGAACAGAGATACACACACGCTGTCTCGTCAGAGACCAGGTCCAATCAACTATGTCTTGGCACACCCACCCAGAAATTAGCTCGCAAAGG